CATACACACTCACAACACAGTCTCCCACACTCACACACATACACACTTTCACACACAACACAGTCTCCCACACCTACACACATGCATACTCACACACACACAACACAGTCTCCCACACTCACACACATACACACACTCACACACAACACAGTCTCCCACACTCACACACATGCACACTCACACACACAACAGTCTCCCATAGTCACACAGTCACACACAACATGGTCTCCCACACTCACATGCACACATACTCACACTCACAACACAGTCTCCCACACTCACATACATACACACACATACACACTCTCACACACAACACAGTCTCCTACACTCACAAACATGCACACTTACACACACATAACATAGTCTCCCACATTCACACACATACACACTCACACACAAACAACACAATCTCCCACAATCACACACATACACACACTCTCACACACAAACAGTTACACAGTCCCCCCCTCACACACACACACAGCCCCTCACCCACACAGTCCCTCAAACTCACACACACTGTCCCACACACACACACACAAACACACACACGCGCACACATATACATACACACACGTATATACGCACACAGTCGCTCACACTCTCTGTGTCTCTCACACACACACACCACAGCATTCCTCACACATGCATAGTCACTCATGCACACTGTCCATCATGCATGTAGAGACAGGCTCCCTCACACACAGAGACAGAGGCACAGGCTCCCACACATGCACACATGCAGACACCAGGAAGCAGGAGTTGGTGCAGATTAGAATTCAGGCAGCAGAGTTTTGGATGACCGCATGTTTACAAAGGATAGAATGTGGAAGGCCAGCCAGAAGAGAACTGGAATGAAGCATGGTCAATAAACACAGGCCTAGCCGACAGAACCCACAGGAATGAATAACAACAGGTTGAGTCTGGACACAGTGAAGGCAGGATTGAGGGTTACAGCGGATGAACTGAAACAGGGTGAAGGTGGTGGATGTTACAAAGAAAGTCCTGATAATGGAGTGGACATGTGATGGAAAGCTTATCCCAAAGTCTAGACAGATACATGAATGGGCAGGGAGCAGAGGGATACAGATCCTTGGAAAATAGGTGACAGGTTTAGATAGAGGATCTGGATTGGTGCAGGCTTGGAGGGCCAAAGGGCGTGTTCCTGTGCTGTAATTTTCTTTGTTCTTTGTTCTTTATAATATAATATTGAACAGCATGGTGGTTAGCACTGCTCTCTCACCCCGCTAGGAACTCCTGGGTTCAATTTCATCCTCGGGTGACTGTGTAGAGTGTGCACTTTCTCCCTATGTCTGCGTGGGTTTCCTTTGGGTGCTCCGGTTTCCTCCCACAGTCCAAAGATGAGCAGGTTAGGTGGATTGGCCATGGGAAATTGTACAGGCTAGGTGGGTTAGCCGAGATAGTGAAGGTTTATTAAGGCTCAACAGGATTGGTCAGGAACAACAGAGTCTTTGTCAAATAACGGCTAGCAGGTTTAAAACAGACATAGGGAGAAATTAATTCTCTCAAGCAATTATGAATCTGTGGAATTCACTCCCCCAGAGTGCAGTGGATGCTGGGGCTCTGAATTTAATGAGGAGATAGACAGAGTTTTAATGACTAAAGAGTCAAAGGGTTATAAGGAGTGAGCAGGAAAATAGAGTTGAGGCTAAGATGAGGCCAACCATGATTGTATTAAATGGTGATGTCATAGACTGGATGGGTTACTCCTGCTCTTAGTTCTTATCATAGAATCCCTACAGTATGGAAACAGGCCCTTCGGCCCAACAAGTCTCTGGCTATTTTACCCTTGGAGCATCTCACCCAGACCCATCCCCCTATGACCCACCTAATCTACACATCCCTGAACAATACAGACAATTTAGCATGGCCAATCCACCTAACCTGCACATCTTTGGACTGTGGGTGGAAACCCACGCAGACACAGGGAGAATGTGCAAACTCCACACAGACAGTTGCCTGAGGGTGGAATTGAACCCGGGTTCTGGCGCTGTGAGGCTGCAGTGCTAACCACTGTGCCACTGTATCACACTCCAGAAATGGGTCATAACACCTCTGGACAGAGATAGTAGGAACTGCAGATGCTGGAGAATCTGAGATAACAAGGTGTGGAGCTGGATGAACACAGCAGGCCAAGCAGCATCAGAGGAGCAGGAAAGCTGATGTTTTGGGCCTAGACCCTTCTGGGGTTAAAAAATATTTTTATCTCTAGGGGCTATTGGGATCGATGGGATCTATAAAGATGATCGGGAATTATCAAGGTCATGATATTTACGAGGATACTTGGATTAATCAGGATCTGGGGTAATTGTCAGGATTGAGGAAATTTATCTGGATGCCAGGATTTATTGTGATCCTTGGATTTACCAGGTTTGTGGGAATCTATCAGAATGAAGTGGATTCATAGCAGGAATTTCATCAGGAACTTTGGGTACCATGAGGATGAGGGGGAATTTATCAGGATTGAGTAGGTCATCATGGTCCTGGGAAGTTAATCACAATGTGTGATAGAGTTCGGGTAATCAGAATTAACCTGCTGACTGATATGACAGCACAAACCTTCAAACTCTGTGAGAGAGAAGGATTAAAATATATTTTTCCATGGGCTTTGTCTCATTGGACACCTATTTCTATTCTATACAAGTCTCACACATTCCCGGAATGTGAGGATAGTCAGCGAGGTGCTTTCTAAAGTGGAGTCACTGCTGTGTTGTAGCAAACATGACAGCCAATTTGTGCAGAACAAGATCCTACATTAGCAATGAGATGGATGGCAGATAATCAAATTTTTAAAATTGTC